GAATAGTGGGATTGACCGTCACATTATAACGCCCCCACGGCTGAAAGGGCGAGCATGTTTGGTGGGACGGGGATTCGAACCCGCGACCCGCAGATTGCGAGTCGAGCGCCTTATCCACCTGGCCATGCCGATTTCAAGATGAGCCCCTTTGTGACTGCATCCACAATGTTTGACTTTTATCAAACATCACACCTTCAAACATTAAACATGCAACTGAGAGGATAAATACGACTTTCGGACACTCTTCTAATATACATTTACTAGTTTAGCACTTAAAATAGGACTTCTGTTGATTATTTACTTTCCAAAATGTAGTAGTCTCTTACCAAAATCTTGACACAAACGAGGGAAAAATCCTATCCTTTTTCAAATTATTTTTCTGTAGAAGGTGTCCCGATGAACAAATAATCTGTAGTGTTTGAAAGCTCTAAAAGTAAATTATTGTTGAAAGGCAAATTTAGTGCTTTTTATCGTTTGCCGAATACTATGACGAGACAACAAAAAGTCAATTCTTTCTGTACGATAGACTTCAGATTTTAGGGTTAAAACAAAAAGAACGTGTGATACAAATCAGCTCAGCTGCTGCTAGGACGATGTTAAAGAACAAAGAGAGAAATAAATATGACACATTATCTAAACAGCAAAAACTTGGTCACAATCAGATAAAAACTACATATGATTATTCCTTGTTAAGAATCAAATCGTAAGAAGCTTCCGATTTTCTTACTTTAAAGCCCTTTTCAAGTTATAGACTGAAGATGGCGCTAGTATACCAGTCAAAAGCTTGTACGAAAACAAGTATATGGAATATTTATGGTTTGTCTTGAGTTTTGTCGAGGTCACGGAAGTCAGTCTAGAGATGTTATTGATGAATTCTTACAAACTGTTACCTATTGCTTATAAAAATTGGTATTCTTGTTCGTTAATAGTGGAAACTCTTGTTATCTATTTCATACTAATGTTGTTGTTGGTATGCTCCAGGACATGATTAACTACAACCGTGAAAGTACAAAGTCATTACCACGTGGACTCTATCTAGGCTACGTGAAATTGAAGAGTTCCGTTGATGTCATCCGAGTGTTAGTGCCACAGAAGACGCCAAATGTCCTCCCATTTAGCCGGATTCGAGAGAATTCCCATGTTTCCAGGTAAGCTCCAAAACTTATGAAGAATTCCCATGTTTCCAGGTAAGCTCCAAACTTATGATTATTTTTCATATGAAAAAAAAAAAAACTTTCCTAATCAGTTTCGAAAAGTTTCACAACCTATCATTCTTTAGTAAATTTTGCTTGCTTATCTCTAGCTAATATCATGAACCACGATAGTAGTTCATAATAGGGAGCGCAAGGAATTGCACAAACCCTAATAGAACGTTCGGGCAAAAAGCACCTTAAATAGTAAAGTTTCAGTTCAAACAACACTTTAAAACATTTACTATTGACTGCTAAGGCTGTACACTTATAAAATGTACAGAAAAGCACACATGTTAGATTTACAAGGAAAAGAAAATCCGCAAAAAAACGGCCCATTTGTAATTCTTATTATTATTGTCTTGCTAGCTTACAACAAAAACGACTTGGTATACTGAACCTAAAACCTTTTGTAGAATACTAAATAAAGTGCTGCGAAAGTATTGAAAAGTCGATTTGTTTCTCTATATTTTCCACAAGCTGAAAAAGCATCATAATTCTAGTGTAAATGATGTTATCATTACCCCTTGAAGTTACCTTTTTTACAGACATCTGGTGTTGCTTTAAAAAGCTTAAGTACAGAATGAAACAAGTATTACCAGCCAACAATAGCTGAACATTAATTCACTGTAACATGTACATATTCAATGCTTTGTACACTATACAATATAATATGTGTGAAGTGAAGGAGTACAAAAAATCATTACACATAATATTAAATTTGATTACATACATTCGTAGAATAATTACTTTAAAAGTATGTTTGTTTTGAATTTCGCGCAAAGCTACAAGAGGGCTATCTGCGCTAGCCGTCTCTAATTTAGCAGTGTTAGACTAGAGAGAAGGCAACACCACCCATCGCTAACTCTTGGGCTACTCTTTTACCAACGAATAGTGGGATTGACCTTCACATTATAACGCCCCCACGGCTGAAAGGGCGAGCATGTTTGGTGTGACGGGGATTCGAACCCGCAGATTGCGAGTCGAGCGCTCTAACCGACAAGCCATGTTTTAGACGTATATACTTTATTTGAAAAGGCTGCTTTTCTACTGGTAAAATTTTATACGCGCTTAGTGTGGAGTTGTGTCTTAGTTTAGGCATATATTTGCCTATTGCTATGCATTTTATATAGATAATTTATTTACAACTTTCCATGACAATCTCCAGCTGCAGCTTAACATTTTCCATCTCGAGCTAATGCGATCAAATAGCCAATAGGTACACTAAATCATTATGAACCGTTTCAGCTAGTTACTATCTATGTTTATTATCATTATAATGTATAAAATTAGCTACCATATCATATAATCGTTTGCCCATAGATGAACATAAAAAAGCCAGGAAACAAGAGAAATAACAAACTGGGAATTTAAAAACCTGCCAACAGAGATCGTAAAAAGCTGGAGATACTTTAGACATTAGTTATTCAATTAGTTATTTTGACTCCACCAAATGTAATTCTAGGTAACAGCATGGAGCCAAAATAGGAATTTGTAGTTTGAGTAAATAAACTCTACAGTATACTCAACCTTCTTTGCTTACCTTTTTATACGACCCCAATTTGCAGGTTTTTAAATTCCCAATTTTTTATTTATTTTGTCACTGATTAACACCGAATAACATTAATTTACTCGATAAAAACTTCTAACTAATATCAACTGGTTAACACCAAATAACATTACTTGACTCAATGAGAACTTCTAACTAGTTTCAATTGGTTAACATCAAATAACATTACTTGACTCAGTGAGAACTTCCAGAGGAAAAAAGTTTCAAAATAAACACAAAAATCAAGCTCCAAAGTCCGGTGGCACAGCGGTATATCTGCGGACTTGCAACGGGTTTCGATACCGGTGGTGGGCAGAGCAGAGATAGTTCATTCTGTAGCTTTGTGCTTAATTACAAACAAACAAACAAATCAAGCTCCAAAATTATCCTTTAATATTTTTTCTAGCTCCGAAAGAGTTTTACTGATTTTTTTCCAGGCTACGTTAACTAAACCTACAAGAGCTAACAGTATAAAAAAACTGATGTATATACATATATATATATATAGAGAGAGAGAGAGAGATGCATACATACCTATACATGTCAAGAGTTTTTACAAGAAATATTTATTTAAAAATCAACCGGTTTTGGAAGAAACGCAAAAAAAAATTATTTTGTTCCTTTATATAAAATGATCAAAATGCATTATCCAACATTTTATGATTTATAAGAAAATGGTAAAGTGTCAGTTCAATTTACTGTTTTAGAAGGTACAACATTTTGTATCCTTAGAAACGCGAAATTGGTATGGAGACAGATTTGTTTTATATAAACGTACTCAATAACGTCAGATTGTTATAGATGCAAACTCGTTTTATATAAATGCACTCAGTGCATCAGATTATTATGGAAGAAGAATATTTATATAATAAACATTTTCTTTGCCATCAATTCTTTATGGAAACAGGTTTTAGTTTTGTTTTACTTCCTCATTAGTGTCATGTTGTTTCAAATAGTTCTGAAATATGAGGATGGTAATGGTGAAAGAAAGCAATGTTTCATAGTTATTAAAACCTAGAAGGTACAGAAACGTATAATATAATATTATATAAAAGACAATACATAACAAAACTTTAAAACACTGAAGATAATCAAATCGAAAAGGTGTTAATAATGACGTAGTTCACATAAAACTCAACCTGGTTTTTCAAATTACACCATACTGAAGCCATACGAAGCTTTGTATTAGGTCGTCAAGAAATTAATATCGCTTTCTTTAGATGAAAAAAACCGAACAACTTATATATCAAAATCAAACATTTATTAAATAAAATAGTCTCCAATCTTATCGATGATGCTTTTCCATCTTATAATCA